CCTCCCACGACTCGTGATTATAGCGTGTTTGTTACGTACTTTTATAATTTCAACCTACATGCTTTCCCTAATTTGGGATATTCGCACTAGCTGCTCCTCGTTCTGAAATGACAGACTAGAGACGTTAACAACTAGGCCACGCCCAAACCCAACCTGACCGGAGACTTACACAGCACATGGGGCAAATGGCAAGGTGAGGGACCCCACGGTTTAAGCATAGTTATTTCTAGTTTAGAACTGCCGATCAGAATGAGGGCAAACTAGTCAGTATCATCCATCGCTAACACAGCTACTATTGACCATATAGCAGGATTGAACGTCACAGTTGTAACACCCCACAGCTGAAAGTAAAGAGCATGTGTAGTAAGATGTCGGGGTCCGAACCTTCGACCTTTCAATCCATTACCCAGTATTTAACTACCAGAGCTGCCCTGGTAACTTTTTTATAAAATGTGTATGTCGTTTGTAAGTATATAACTAACCTTGTGTCTGTTGTATTGAAGTATGTAGATGATGGTGTGAATGTGAAGAGTCAATATATAATATATATATATATAAAGAATGGTTTGTTAGTCATCCTTAAATATTTAAATAATGTCGTGTCTATAGCTTTAGTGTTTAACTGAATTGTTGGTTCCACGGGCAACATGCGCCGAGAACAGTATCCGAAGAACTAAATATAGTCTTAAAACAGCTGGTGAGGGAATATCACTAGTTTCCTATAATCTGTTTCATAAAATTAGGAACAAACAGTATTTCCACTAATACAAACCAAAATGGAAAAATATCTAAACTGCGATATCTACCGTAGATACTGTTATAAGTGAAAAGCTTTTAGCGTGCAATATTTTAACATTACTTATTAATGCCCTTTAATTACCAAGTTACATGCTAGTCATTTACGTAACTTATATCCCATTTTATTTACATTCTTAAAGTAGGTAAATGTATACAGCGCTGTATTTATTAGTGAAAGTAACTCCAGTGATGTCATAAGAAAATAGAACTTTTAAGGCGACGTTTGCAGTATAAACTCTGATGTTCACAATAGCGTAATGAGAAGTGGCAATTTTTTGGAACATGCGAAAGATAAGAATGGTTGTAATACAAAGTTATATATATACATATATATACAACGCTACCAGTGATGTACATATATATACATCACTAGTAGCGTTGTCGTGACAGCAGTTTGAGGGTATTCACGTGTGACAAAGACAGTAAAAGACCTACCTTCAAAAACTCTGGTTTATTTTGTTCCCCGGACTGCAAGTTAACAGCCTTGAGTTGCATGTCCAGTCCTATCTGTTTGGCCAGCATACGGACTGACCGGCAAGGTGGACTAGCCTCCACGTGGTATAAGATGACCGGCATGATGATCAGCGCTAGATCTCTCAGCCTTGTATGGCTGCACCAAAGCGGCGAGAGAAGTCTGCTGTAAGCTGACACCAGGAAACAGGCTTGACGATCCGAGTTATCTTATTGGTTACTAAGTACCACGCGGGTACGTATGTTTTTCTGGAAACCTCGATGTCAAATGTTACCTCATCATGAAATATTTTGAAACACCATCCAACGACAGAATCTCGTTGATGTTCTGGAAGTATGTGTAATTACTTTATTTAAACATTTATACGTGTGTTATTTTTTCTTTTTTCAGCAATAAATTTAAACAGAGAAGATTGGATACTTCTGTTGACTTTGTCAGCCAAAACTTCTCAGGCAGATACAGTCCTCAGAAGCCTCCTTCTTGGTTTTTCATTCTCTTCATTAGACTAACGCCTACGAAGTATATATGTATGTGTATTTTACTAATCAATTTAATTTAAACTAAAAGTTGGAATTTTTTTGGACACATTTCACAAAGCTCGGGGCGTCAAATGATAATAGTACCAGAAATAATTTCGGTGGATAAAAATAGCAAACTAAAAATTACCCCCGTAATTCTAAAAAAAAAAAAAAAAACCCAATGAGTGAAATTAAAGGATAATATGTTATACTATGTCAACCACACCACATCTGTCATATTGGGTGCCGACGAGGCCTTTCGCTAAACACCAGGGTTCATCAGACCAGCTGGGATACGTTGCTTTGACAAAATTATATGTATATATATATTTACACATACACACACACACACACATATATATATATATATATATCGTCTAGGCCAATACTACGTTTTATCAATCAGATTTTTAAGTAAGAATTAACACAACCTATTTATTAATTATTATTTGAACTAATCTTACTATCATTCACAAGAACTGACGAACCAGCAAGCTAACCTTGTTGTTCCCGGAACGCGTCATGCTAACCATAACGTCAATGGAAGAAAACTATATTCGGTAGAAGAAAATTGCACACAAAACGTGATATCGTTTATAACAATACTGACGAAATTTGTATAAGCATTAATACAGTGTGAAAACCTGTAATTTTACTTTATTTTTTCCGTTTAGAGAGAAACGGTGCCAGCTTTTCCATACCTTTGTCATTTTTTTTTTCATGTGGCCAAAGCTCTAACCCTTTTCTCCTGAAAACTGCTGAATTAATAAGAACAACATGTTCACTTGCTTTATTTTTTCACAAATAAAATAATTATGATAAACGTTCTGTTTCTAGTCATGTTTTCTACGTTTCTTCCTAACACATGATACATTTTTAAGTGTTTCTACTTCGTGTATTGTGGGCAATTTATTTTTACAGTACGTTTTTTTTTTTATGAGACAAGTTTGTTTTGAAAAAGACCATTGTGCTTAACGAAAAACAACTAATATTCGTTAATAAAAACTATCGTGAAAAATTTCACACCCTGAATCATGAGCATCCACAGAAATTTCTCGGGGGGAGGGGGCAAAGTCTAAATCAAGGATGTATATACAAAGGTGTACGTGTGTGTATAGCTTCGAAACTATTATATCAATTACATTAATTGACGATAGGGGATCAAAATCGGCACAATAAAAACAATAATGAACTTAACAGAAGTTCAAAATTTTGAATTTATATATATACATTGAATGTATAAAGAAATAAATTTGTTTCTCATTTTCCAGTGGGGCAACTGCCCCCCTCTCCCCTGTGGATGTTGTATTTTCCTTCACCAAATTTAGTTTTCTCCTGTTGACGCTGTGATTACATGCCCTGTTGGTTGTGATGAATGTTGTACGAAACAAAACGACACATAAACAACATTGGCAAGCCTTTTTATTATGTTCATTTCAATAAACCCACGAAAATATTACACGATAACGTGAGGAACCGAAAGTCCGTACAATTAAAATACATGCAATGCTTTAAATAATAGACTGAGTGAGATGACACTTTTTCATGAACGTGATGCTCGATTATGAAGTGAAGACGTGTACAAAAAAAAAAAAACTGTCGGTTCATGATCGCTGAAAATGTCATTTTACTACTGCTCATTACAGGAGTAACGTGACGTTTTCGCGCATGTCAATTTCCTTACAGTTCATTTTTCGTGTTATTTCAAACGGCCTAACCCTATCATTTATACAAATTGTCATTTTAGCAAAATATTTACTAAAAACAAAAGCTTAGCTTTTTATAATTATTATTTAATTAAAAAAATAACACTTTTTTTTAAAGTTAACCTTAATATATTTGTATACAAAAGTGTTCGTAAAGAAAATAACAGGAAAACGTAGGGTTATTCTGGGGGGGGGGGGACAAAAATCGAAGTTGCGAGCTTTATCCAGCTTTCTATTGAATAAAATTATACTACGTTTCCTAATGCCGGGTATTTTATAAATGTTTTTTTTCACTCCTCGTAGTACGGATAACGTAATACGTTATATTAGAATAACGACTTTTAATAACTGAGCTGTAAAGTGACGAAAAATATTGAGAATACTAACGAATTTCGTTACCTTTCCTTTTAATATTTTACAGGTATTTTATTTCGTGATTTTTTTTTTATGTTAGATTCTTTCCAGCATTCGTATACAAATTGTATTAACGGTATTATCCTGGAGACACGTATGGATATCTCTTTTAATTAATAAAGATTAGTTTAATTTTTATTTCACTAAAACAAATTACTACTACTGAATAACTGTGCACGTGATATGGGTTATTTATATTTTTTTAGAGATCAATTTTGGACTTAAAAACTCTAGTTTTTACGTTTGTTTTTCTCGCTAGATGCGTGGCAGTGTTTTGAAAACTTTAATAGAAGTTTACGACGTACGTAAGCTACTGGCGCGACAAACGAATTTGTGAAATATTTTTTATCATACATTCAGCACCAGAATAAAAACTTCACGTAAAGGAAGGCAAGCTTTCACGAGGAAATTATTATAAAGTTTCAAATTTAATTGTAATTAATCTAGACATGACAGACGTCCTGACAATCGACATCTCATGAAAACTTGGATTAAATATGTTGATTATTCAAACACATGACCAAATATTTAAATTGTTGCAGCTTAGTTTAGAAGTTTGTGCAAAAGCTATGCTTGCTTAATCATGCGCTGACAAAGTCGTGTATTACATTTTCATTGTACACTAATTTCAGGACTGATCAGGTACATGATATTTTTTAATAGTTCGTCCACTAGAGGTCGCTGGGCGTATGGCAAAGGACGAAACGTTTCATCTCTTTATCGCGAAAGGAGAGCTAAAGTCAATATTCGGCTTTCAATGTAGTAAAAGTAGAATTATCAAAAATTACTTTTGTAAAAGTTCATACAAAATAGTAAATTATCAGAAACTCTTGACTGCACGGATTGCTGTATGAAAACATGAAATATAGGGGACGGTACAATGCATAAATCCCATATATATATATATTCGTCAACCCAAACAACGTATAATTGAAACTCTTATGACGTCATTAATTTAAAATATACCGCCTTCAGCTCAATACGGCAGAGCACCTGAAACCTGATCCTTTAGCTGTACATTTATTACAATAAACATGCTCTAGGTCCATTTAAAATTGAAGCTCCCTCTCACGTGCTTCTCTTTAACACCAAATTCACTACCTACGTTTCTAGTGGTGAGCACGAGTGATTGTATTTGTTGTTGTTATACACGTATGATAATCAAGAAAACCAGTTTCTACACAAATACTGGTTTGTTTTAGTTTTAGTCTTTTTAACCTATAATTCTGATGTTTCCAAGCTGGAAGGAAGAAGAGTGACGTGTTTCCGGAATCTGTCCTCCCGGTGCGTCCTGTTCAAGTTGTTCTGTTCTTGACTGTCAGCTGTTGTATCTGACGCCTGACCAGATGATGCGTCTGATGGTTCTGGTACAGTGATATTCTGAGGAGTAGGGCGAGATGGTTTCGTTGGACGTGCATAAATGTGCCCTCGCAAACCCGGATTTCCAAATCCTCGTCCCAGAGTGGGTCTAAAGGGGGAGCCACTGCTTGACGTATCAGGAGGTGATTCAACGGCGTTTTCGTCAAGTGAATCATCCAAGGATCTATGACTGTACAATTAAATCCACATAAGAAAAACAAATAAAGCTAAGTGCTTTTTTTAAAAAATAATTTACCGCCAAGATAAAAATGTGATTGGGCAAAAACAAACGCACTAAAATAATAACACCTACAGTAAATTAAAAACATGCAAAATAATTATGGAAACGTTGAATAAAAAAAAGGTATAAAAAAAACAAATACTACGAGAATGCCACCCCATGAAAATGAATTATGCCAGAATACAGGAATGTGTTGATAGGTTAAACCGTAAATGGTTGACATTCAACCAATCAGAAACTGCCACAACCGTATGACGCCTATAAAAGAACAGGCAGTCATCCTATATCAGGAAGCAGTATTAGTATGATTCAAGTCAGGCTTTCAGAAGTCAAAGACTCAAAGTTTTAACTTATCCATGTTTCAGTACGAGCTGAAGATGGTACATGAAACTGTTAATAACAGAGATCATTAAAAAAAAACTCTCCAAATGTTGTAGTAAATATTTCGGGGTATGTTCTTAACAAGACAGACGCAGGTCAAGTAAAGATCATGCTGTAAATAAAGACGTGAATGTTACCTCGAGAATAGTAAGTTACATACTAGAATAAAGTGGTCTCAATGGATGTGTAACTGCCCAAAAACAGGTGTTGAAAAGAGGTAACTAAGCAAAAACGTTTAAAATGGCATTGGACCACAGTACCGGAATGGGTAAAGTTGGATAACTATGCTCTTTACATATGAAAATTCATGTTTAAATTATTTGGTAACAATACTTTGTTCAATGGCAGAGAGAAGAGTATCATAATTAATTTACAACAGCTACAGTGTGACATGTTGGATAATCAGTACAACTTTGGGCTTACATCTCGGCCATTGGTGTTGGTGATGTATATAAAAATGTTGGCAACCGGATTGCTGAAAAGTATGTGCAATTCTGACCCAACATCTTCCAGCAAGAAAATGATCCCAAGCATACAGCAAATGTGGTGAAAGAAGATCTTGACAGTAAAAAAAAAACTCTTAGCCATGGATTGGCATACAGAAAGTTTCGATATGAACATTCTTGAGGCTGTATGAAAAGGTCAAAAGGTGACCAAACAACTTGGCTGAATTGTGGGAAGATTTGGAACAATATTCCACAGTCTTACACTGATAAACTATACGACAGCAAGAAAACAAGGTGTAATCCTGTGTGTAAAGCAAAGGACTCGCATATAAAATAATAGTGCATTGTACACCTTAATCACTGTCATTTTGTAGTTTGTGTGATAATGTTTTGTACTATTAATAAATTCACCATCTAGTTTTCATTACTCTTTGGGTCCAGTATATGTATGGTTTGTGTGTTTCCATATTTAGTTCTAGTACTGTATGTAGAAAAAAAAAAAAATTTTATAAAGGTTTTCTGAAAAAACATATACAGAACAATCAAATGTTGCCTGGGTTTTCTTTACAACACAAATCGTTAACTTAGTGTTTCAAATTCTTTATGAATTATGACTAGACCTCTAAGAAGACATTTACATCCTATGCCAATGTGAAAAGCCATGGGACAAATTGAAATTAACCAATCATACCGGACTGTTTAGAAATGACCATAGGGGTGCCCACAGAAACATTTTCGGGGGGCAAAACATATATGTCAACAGACTAAAAAAATGTGTGTTGTGTGTACTCACATCTGTAACTAGATCCAACCCCATCATCATCATAAAGGAACATGAACCAGCCTTTACACACACATTACAAAGGCCCACATC